ACCGTTGTCGAGGACGGCCCCGAGGAGCGATGAACGCTAGGCCATTTCAGCTTTAGCGTTACATTCCGATAAGTCGGACCTTCCACGTACGCGATTATTGTCTTTTCTCTGTCTTTTGCGCTTAAGCCCTAAGAAGTCTTTTTATAAGAGTACTTTAGTTATATATATTAGAAAAAAAGATATTTAGTAATAGTAGTTTACTAAACTATTTATTTAAAGTAGTTATCTTTATATATACTTATAGTAGTAAAAAATAACTTTATAATAAATATATAATAAGTTATTATAATAAGTTTTATAATAGCTTATAAAGTAAAAATAGCTTATTTAAAACTAAATATAAAGCCTAACTAGCTTATATATAAGAGCTTTTTTACTATTACTTTTTTTACTTCTTTATTATAATTATAAGTATAATAATTTTTTTTAACTACTTTAACTACTATTTTCTTATTATTACTAATACTTAAATAGCTTATTTTACTTTTTTAGTTTTTTCTTTACTTTTTAAATATAAAATTATTTATTATATAGCTTTATTTTTTAAGAAATTTTATAATTTATACTATAAAAAAAAGAAGTAAATAAAATATATACTTAAAATAAAAGTAGCTATTTTTTTATTTAAAAAGCTTAATAATAGTATATAATTTACTTAAGTAATAATATAAAGTTACTAATATTTTTTTTAGTTTTTAGTTTTTTTAAGTTTTATACTAATAAGCTTATAAAGCTTAAAGTGCTACTTTAGAAGCTATTCTTAGTATAGCTATAGCTAATATATACTAAGTAGCGCTTTTTTAAAATAGTAAAAAAAATTAAGTAGTAGCTAGTATTAGTAAATATAGTAATTAATTACTATAGTAAGTAATTTTAGTAAAAGTAAAAGTAAAAAAAAAGCTAGTATTATAAGTTAATTTTATAGCTTTATAATATTTACTATTTATATAAGTAGTATTATAGAAAAAAAAAATTTACTTCTAAACTAGCGCCTTAGTAAATAAAACTAGGATTATATTAATATATTAAGGGACGTAATTATTGTCTGTCTACGCTTTGCGCATTAATGCATCCAGCGCCATGTACTCCCAAGCGCACTACTCCATACCAGTGTCAGTTCACAGAGTGAAAGTCAGGACGCATCGCAGACACTTGCGCCTTCCTGAATGCTAATCTAGTGTTCGCGCAGTCCCCCTTCGACCTTTCCGAACACAACTTGGCATGACGGCGTAGATGCACGCTTTCTCCATTCTTACTATCGGAATCTTCGTCGCAGGGTACTCGACCGCCCGTTGGGATCTTGTGACGCGCGTCTACGAACTAGGTATCTTTGCCTGGGATCACGGCGTTGTGACACGGACTGCTAAGGGTTTCTGCCTGCTGTCCCTGCTGTTCTTCCTCTTCATACTACCCGTTGTGCGCATCGCGACACAAGAGACAGACTTGGTCAGTATGAGCCTTGATCGCACTCCCGGGTCCCTACTAACAGCATCAAACAGCATCCCCGACTCGCAGGCACCGGCATCTCTGCGCGCGAGCAGCTCAAACGTCGCGGTTCCTTCTAGCTAGCGGGGTAGCAGGATGATGACATGGTCACACACAATGGGTTGATGCGCGTATTCTGGCCGTCAGACGCTCCAAAGGACTCTGTGCCGGGTGTTCTGGTGGGGTTCAGAAACTCGAAGTCAGATGTCTTTGTGGTAGCTGTGCTTCAAGAAGTCGAGTTGCGTCAAGTCGAGAACGCGCTGCTTGTCGGGACCTTGCTGCGACACAGCCCACACGATGTCCAGGAACTACTTCAACGATGCGGACACTCTTCCTTGCGCGCCTTGGGCTACGTCAACCCCAGGAGCTCAGTTGAGCAGCCTGATAACGACCTCATCGTAGTCCATACCGACCCCTCGTTCCGATTTCCGCGCCTTCATCATCCTCACGAACCGCTCGCGACAATGCAAGTCATTGTATACGACCGACCGCACCCAACGCGTATGCAATACCTCTCGCTCAAACCAATCACGCTAGCACTGGGAGACAAAAGAAGGGTCGCAGAATGGGATGTAGCTTTCGAAGAGCTGGAGAAAGCAGAAGAGAAGGAGCGCAGAAGGAAGGCACATCTCGTTGAGAAGCTCAAGCTGCACACGGTGATTGCACACCCGCGCACTCAAAAGGAGCTGGCGTTGCCGATGCTCATCGAGCAGGTGAACTGTTCGCACGAATTGAACGCCCTATTACAGAAGAACATCGGCATGATAGGCAGGCGTATGAAGCGAGCCTTAAGTGTCAGTGAGCGGGTTGTCGAGTCTGCGAACGATCTCTGGGACTATATATGGCTTGTCCTCCATTATGCGTTCAGAGTCTGGATATGGCCGGTAGCCGCACAACTCTTTATTTTTGGGCTCATCACCCATCGCATAATGGGAGAAGCCGTTCTTCAGCTTCTCCATTGGCGACCAGGTTCTTCCGACTCGCCAGCTCTGAAAGACATCTCCGCAACAGCGCAACAGATTGACATACGATTACAACAGTCTTGTTACTGGCCCATTCAGTATCTCACCTTACGCAGGAGGAAAGTCAACTGGGAATCTATCACTAACAGTCATCCGGAGTATATCCGGTTCTACAATAGTCTGTGGCTGGTTGCCAACGATGTCATAATGGGCATCGCTGTTGGAACATTCATCATCGAGAACGCTTCGTTCGTGGCTGCTCAGGTCGATACCATATTCAGTACCTGGTCAGTCGACGGTCTACGGCGCATGATATCATGGCTTATGGGATGGCCTGGAGGCTTGAAGTTGAACACTGAACTGGCTGCGTTCCTGGGCGACCTTTTTCTTTGGGTCATTGATTACTGGGCGGGATGCATATCACTCCTGCGGCCACACCTACCTGCGCTGATCCAGATCATTGGCTTTTCCGCTTTCGCTGGCGCCACTATGCCCATCTCAATCTTCTCGGACCTCGTTTCACTGCTGACGCTGCACATCTACTCATTCTATGTCGCGTCTGCTCGCATCTTTCATTGGCAGCTTACGATAATCATATCCCTCTTCCACCTTTTCCGTGGAAAGAAGCGCAACATCCTCCGCAACCGAATCGACTCATGCGACTACGACTTGGACCAGCTATTGCTCGGCACTATTCTTTTCACACTGCAGTTCTTCTTACTGCCAACTGTGTTCGTCTTCTACTTGACGTTTGCGAGCGCACGCATTGCTGTCATCGGATTGAAAGCTGCGCTGGAGATGGGGCTTGCCTGTCTCAATCACTTCCCGCTCTTCGCAGTCATGCTACGACTGAAGGATCCTGGAAGACTACCTGGAGGAATCTGTTTCGAACTACAAGACACGACCGATCTTTCCTCTAGCACGACAAGCGAGACAGGCTCACCGCCGACGGCCTATGTGTTGCTGAAGGTAAGTCAAATTGCTGGATCCTGTGATATGCGAGAACTCACACTACGCAGTCGATCCCGCTGTCACTACGTGCGAAGTTCCAACCCTATTTCGACCTTGGCGATCGCATACGCAAGCACTACTTCTCGCCTAGCGTCTTGTTGTATCTCGTGTCAGGGCAATTTGTCCCACCGATTCACCGCCGCAACTTATACAGCTTGCAGTATAGCATGCTCCCCGCCAACAGAGCAAGTATAGGCGAGCTGTGGAAGAAGCTGACAGAAAGGAGTGCCGCGCCATCGCACGGGTCTAACGGGTACGCTGCAATGCCATTCAGGAAGGACATACTTAACGGTAAAAGTAGAAAAGTCACATGAAACTTTAAGTCATCTGTATCTGTCTTATGTCTCTGTTTCCTCATGCCTCTGCGTGTCTTCTGCATTCCTCTGTTATGTATTAGCTGCGGCCGCGTGTTGTTGCTCTACGAGAGACATATGTTACCCGCTCTCACATGCTATTTTCCACCTTCACCTCCAAACCCAAATCGAAAAAAAAAGAGGGCAAAAAAGAATCAACTCAACCCCCACCAAGCATCTGCTGACCGACGCCCACTCCGAATCGAACGGCGCGCCCTCCTGAGTTCAGCCCTTTGTGTGACAAATCCTTCTCTTATGTGTTTTTTCCCATTACCAGTGTCACTTTTGGTTTTGATGGACATGTTGTCTGTTCTTTCTCTAGGTTTTTCTAATCCGTGCAACGCACTCTATGTACCCGTCAGGAGCCCACCCGAGTCCGCCAAGTGGAGGAGAGTTGATGGTGGATGGGGTAATGTTGGGGTTTATATCTTCAGGTAAAGGTGGGTCTTGTAGGTGCTGATAATGGGTGGGCTCAGGTGAGAGGGCTTGCATGCAGGGTGGCGGGGCTAGGCAGACGGCGGGCTGGGTAGAGGGCGAGGTGAAGGTGAGTCTCAGAGCCAGTATGACGTGCGCGAAAAGGTCGCGCCTGTATCTGAACTGTTTGGGGTTTTGCTAACATCAAGATGTTGGTGAGGAGTGTAGTTGGGTCTCACATGGTGATGACGACATGGCCAAGGTACACGCAAGCGAATGTGAGCGGTCAGGAAGAGGTACAACATGGTGAGGCTGATCAGGTAAAGTTGCAAACTGCCAAATTACATCCAGGTGGGTGGCCGCATCGTCTGAGGCAGGTACGATGATGGCAAGATGTGTCTGCATGTTCAGGAAGTCGCGACTAGACTCGCGGCACGTGGTTGTCCTTCGCCCGGTATCCGCATCCTAATATCGTACTACCTGTGCTAACGCCTTTTACTTCCGCCCTGCCTTACGATCTAGCGGCAGCAGAAGACATTTGTTTGCTTAACCGTTTCCGTCGCCATTCTTGCGGGTTCTCTCACTCCATCCCCAAAAGCCGCTACGCCAATCGGAGCATTAGTCTTGTAACTCGCCCTCCACCTATAGACGCGGATCTGCCCACAGTCAAGTTCCAGTTCAACAGTCAGTATAGCTGCACCTTTTCGACAATCTCTTCCACCTCTTCCCGTAACACCCTCCGCAATTCAAGGCCACCAGGACGATATTACTCACGATGGAGTCACATACCGCTGCACAAGCTGCGAAAGTCAGCCCCATGAGGTAAGTCACCCTTCGCGACTGCCGCCCGCGGGATCTGACTTGTACAATCTAGCTTCGACCCGTCTTCCTTCTTGACTGTGCGCGTCGGTCCTGAAGGTTCCCAACAGGAGTTCTTGCTCCACGAAGGCATTATATGCAAACGGTCCGAGTTCTTTCGCCGCGCGATGAACGGCAACTGGTCTGAGAAGAAGGCTCGACTTGTTAAGCTACCTGAAGATGACCCCAATATTTTCGCTCTCTACGTCAATCTCGTGTATATGGGCGAACTGTCCAGGCCATCAGACCTTACCAAGACGACTTCGAACGAGTTCCAAGCGCACATCCTGGCCACCGTCAAATTCTACGTCCTCGCTGAGAAGCTGCAAGACAAGCAAGCTAAGAATACTGCTCTAACAACTACTCACGCCGATATGACACGGAGATCGTCTGCCGACAAGCTACCCAATGCTGAGATCGTCGAGTTCATGTACAAGAACACGTTGAAAGGTAGCCCTGGACGACGCCTCATGGTCGACATTTGGAACGATGACAACACTAAGTGCATTCTCGAGCAATCGGAAGTCGTATGCAAGGAATTCTTCATCGATCTCGCCTATTCACTTCATGCTTATCGCCCTGCACGTATGCGGAACGTTGCATCTGTCTCGTCTTTCACCTCGTATCATGAACAACTTTGAGCCTTACTCTTGGGGTTGCCATTATGGACTTGCACCGGATGATCGTGGAGTTCGTGGTCGGCGGAATGAATGGAAATCGGATGACTGATCTTTGATGATAGCCTGGAAACAGTCGTATGAAGGCAAAGAGACACGTAGCACAGGTAGCCAGTCAAAATAGCGCGGCAAATCTACAGCGCTTGCAGGAATCAACATTCGCTTGCCAATTGATGCAATGCGTCATAATCTTTAACATCCTACGAGACCCAAATCCCACGGAGATATGCTCGTCTTCTGATTTCGAGCCTTCACCCTCCTACATGACACTGTACTTGAAACTTTCGTTTTGTTTCCACCTGTCAGTGTACCACTATCGTGCGGCAGCAGCGTCCATCTAGGGAGCATCTGTAAACATAGTAGCCGTATGTCTCTATGGGTTTACATTACGAATGCTGCGTTGATTCTTCGGTCATCCTCCAGTTTGAACATCAGGTGCTTCGCTAGCTGCACCTCCTCATACAAGGGAAAAGCTGAACAAGTCTGCAGACTACATAGACATAAGTGAATGCAAAGTGGGTATATTAACATCGATGTAGGCCCCAGAGTGTTCACCTTTTCCCTAGGTTGACATGGCACCATCATCTAAGGCTAGCTGTAGGCGGTCGCTCACCGCGCGCAGACACCGATGATGTCACTCGAATTCACCAGTCACCGCACCAGATTTGGACAAACGAACTTACCGCTTCGGGGTCTGTTTTTCGCTTGCACCTACTTCAAACCTTTCGCTTTCCACATGCCCTTCGCCATCTCGCACTTCCCCGACACCAATCAGGTAACTCTGCCATCATCGTAGCGGCCATGGCGACTCCAAAGGCCACTCGAGGAGACGTGAAGAAAGCGATGAGGTCAGTAAGCATGGGCAAGAACATCAGTATCAGAGACTAACCATTGCAGCTTTGACCCATCCAAGCTCGTCACAGTCATCGTGGGCAAAGGGCTACACCAAGAGCGCTTCTCTATCCATGAAGAGATCGTTTGCGCCCGTTCAGAGTTCTTCAAACGCGCACTAAACGGGAAATGGACGGAGAGCAAAGAACGCATCGTCAGATTGCCAGAGGACGACCCAAAAACCTTCGGCATCTACACGAACCTTGTGTACACCGGTCTTGTCCTCACCGACACCCTTGAGGAGCCAAAGACTTCAACTCTCATCTGTGACGAGTATGATAAGCTCATCAAGCTATATGTGCTCGGCGAGAAGCTTCAAGACAAGGCTGCAAAGAATTCGGCCATCCAGAGTCTACTAGAGGTGACCTTCGAGACGGATGCAGAAGGCATGGGATATATCCCGCGGGGCGATACCGTCTGCTACCTATACCAGGGCACATATACTGGCAGCCTCGGTCGTCAGCTTATAACAGACTCGTGGATGCAAGTAAGCACTGATTATTTGAGCAGAGTCAAGGATGGACTGCCAAAGGATTTCCTCGTTGACCTTGCCATCGCACTACTAGGCGAACTTCCAAAGAAGAAGCCAAGGCTGGTCACGATGGCCAACAAAAGCAAATACTTGGAGAATATGGATTGACTGCCCACCGAGGCACCAAAACTTACAGTCAGCTTGGAAGAGATACAGCGTTTCAGCATGTGACAGAAGCTGAGGTAATCAACCAGGATATCGTTGAAGATATCGCGGCTAGCTATGTCAGCGAAACGCAAGACGGGAAGACGAAGTTCATTGGACAGAGTTGCAGCAACTGCATGTACACGAATCTGGTTCAGCCGCACATAGTCCGAATGACTTCCATCACCTATGACAACGAAGACCAACTCTCTACACACATCATAGTGACTCGTCCTTGTATTCACAGACCTGAGATAGCAACGAACCGAATGACATTAACAACTAATCCCCTCACCCAAACACCATAGAAAGTCCAAGTCTCATACATCGTAAATCGCAGACCCTCAAGCAACAGGATCCCAACCACCGCTCAAGGCTTTTTCAATCGACACAAGCCGCCGAGAAAATATGCAAAGAACAACAACAGCAACAAATTACCTCCTTGCAATCCATGTAAAAGGAAAGAAGGCACGATCCCCAGAACCCCGATGAATGACCAACGCCAAGAGCTAAATCATATGCATATGTGCCAGCTAATACTGGCTGTTCCAAACGTGTATTATAATATTCCCGATGAAAAGGTGGATTCGTCGTCGTCAGAGGGAGGCTGCGGCCAGTGGTCGGGTTTGGGTATTGTGCTGCCGGCTTCGCCGTCGTTAGGTTTGCGCCCCCATACTACGTAGCTGGTAGATGTTAGTGTGCGTCTCTCAATCTCGTCACATGTTCAACAAGCGACTTACAAGTTGTAGTAGGCGTGCACGCTCTCGTCTGCGAGCGAGTTCCTCACATGCGCGAGGTAGACTTCGACCTCTGCTGGCGTCCAGCCCAGGCCGGTGACGAAATATTCGATCGTCCATCCGTGCAAACCGACGAGCATATTCCACATGCAAAACTTGCCGTACATGTTCGACTTGTTTTCTTTCGGCCATGGATTCACGGGCAGAGCGAAGACCTCCTCGTGCACATCCACGAAGCCGGCTTCTCGGTACCACCTCTTTAATTTGTCCGCGATGCGCAACGGCCGGCCCAGGATGTGCGCGGCCTCGTCCTGCAGATTTGACCATTCAAGTAGCGGGTAACTTTCCGGCATGCCTTCGGCACACTGGAGCTTGGAAAATATCTCCTGCGACTCCATCCATCCACCAGGTTTCAGATTGTTGAAGCCCTTTTGTATGATTTCTCGGAAATCTGTGAAGATGCCGTGCATGAAGCGTGTGTGGACGTAGTCGTAGGTATAGGGTTGTTTCTCGGGGAACCACCATGATGTTTTGAGGATGTTGTCCAGCCAGAAGTCGACGTTGTTGGGCAGTCTGTCTTTCTTGGGTTGGATCGCGGACAAGTCGATGCCTTCAACCTGATGTCTGGTTAGCGTGGCCATGAAGAGAGCATTGCATCGCGTACCCGCCAATGTTTTGGAGCCTTCTTTGCTGTTGCTTGTCAGTCGTGTTTCCACAAGGAGCGACAGACACAGCACATACCCATGGCGATGCACCATTGTCCGGTGCCACAGCCAATGTCCAGCATCCTCGACGATCTCTTTGTGTTCAGCGGCGCGAAGTAGTGTTTGCCTTGCAGCAGTCCTGTTATGATGTGATGCTCCCATTCCAGGCGATATATCTCGAGCTGTGGGTATGCGAGTCAGCGAAAGGGCGATGGGCGAATATGGGTTCTAGCAGCGCGTACCTCGTCGTTGGGGAATGGGTAGGCTGGAATCAATTAGCTAAAGTCAGGCGAAAAGTCATTCGGTAGGTATGCGTACCTCCAGCATGAAAGCCATGGTAAGTTCGGCCGTACTTCTTCTCGACGCCATACATGCTTGGCGTGAGGCTTTGCACCTCGCTGCAATGTGTAAGCGCATGGAGTATCTGAGGGGAGAGGAGGAGAGGTACAAGTCGTTGAGTTCTCCATCTGACGGTGCATCCGACTACATATCGCGATTAGTTTGGGGTCCATGGTACGTATGTAGTGGGGAGAGCAGGCGGCATACATCAGCTGGGTCGGCCGTCGAGTGTGTGAAGTCGGTGAGATTGGTGGCACTGGACAGCGGGCGCAGCTTGGTCTTGCGCACACGGTCAGTCGCAGAGGTGGCCATGATGTCTTGGGGATGCGCTACGGTGCGCTACAGGACTCGCCCCGAGTCGTGTCGAGGAAGAGGCGAAACCCAGCGGAATGGATAATGTCGTTCCCAAGGCCCTGGCCTTGGAGGGCGCGCCGACAGCGAAAGCGCCGACGGGAGCGCTAGGGGGCCAGTCAACCCCGCAGTCCTCGCAACCTCGACCGCCCTGTCTGCTGCCAGCTGTTGCAAAGACCCACAGCCACGCCCAACGTGTCGAATGACACCGACAGCTTTACGCCTCATCCTGCCAGTACCGAGTGCGTGGCTTTGGACATGCGTCACTCCTTCCGAGAGATTGGGCGACCAGCTCACCGACCATCCCCCGGGTGCACACCATCAACACGCCCGTCAATGTCTCAATGCCACCATTGTTGTCTTCTTCCTTTGCCTCCCGGGCGCTAACACGACCTAAACCTCGGCTCCTGACCCAGTTCTGGGAATGAGACCTGATCTGCCTTGCTCTGCTGTGTGTTTGGGGCACAGTTCTCTAGCGTACACAAAGGACTTTCCCAAACGGCTTCCAACCTGCGGCTATCGGAATTCCAAATGATTCCCTGCCATTGTCTCTATCATGGTTTTCGTCTTCGTCTGGTTCAGCCACTCGTAGCTCGGCGTTTCCGGCGCCTTGGCCGCGTGAGCTGCATTGGAAGGAATGCGTCGGGCGCATCAACCAATGTATCGGATCCGGGGAAGGCCGTGTCAAATCATGCCATTCTGACCAAACTGGCGGTTTACCTGCCACTGCGGCCTGGACCGTTGGACCGTTGGGGAGAAACGTTCGCAAAGCTGACAGAATCCGTGCCGACCCTCACTAGTATCCCAGCGATGTATATGCAAGGTCTGGCTGTTGAGAAGTGCATCATGTCGGGATACTTGCTGCAAGGAGAAATCGCCGAGGTATTGGAATTCTGCCACTTTCACAAGAGAGGCCTGGTCAGCATGCAATGCAATCACCAAGTCTGTTGGAGTCGCAGATAGGCGTGGTGGTGGATACAAGAATCAGCAAGGAGACGACCGCTTTCGTACGAACCACTCAAACCGTAATGCGCATGTTGTGGGGGTGCGTAGTATGTGGCAGTCGTTGCGGGCTTTGAAAGCGTTCTGCCTAGCATCATCCAACGGCGTCCCCTGCTATGCCATACACCGTTCGGCGACCATGCATCAAAGCGATGAGCTGTCATGCATGTGCATCTTGAACAAGTCGGCCATGCATGGTAGTCTGTGGTGTAGGGTCGTAAGTAGCGCGCTTGGCGGAGATGCTAAGAGCTTTCTATCAGATGTGGGCAATGTTGACTTGTTTGTATCGTAAGAGTGACGAACTTTTAGTGCTTAACGTCACTGGTAAGCCGCCCATAGATGGCTCTCGCGATTTTCGTGAGCGCCTTTAAGAAAGGGGACTCGTTCGCAGTGAAGAGGAGGTAGACGTGTGTCGTAACGGATAGGCAAGTGTGACTGCTGTCTGGAGAGCGTTGTTGCGCTGTCGCTCTTACCCTGCAAGTGCAAGGCGAGATTGGCTCTTTCCACTTTCAAAATGGGAAGTCGCCTGAGCTGAGACGTGACTACCCCAGTATGATCTCTCCAAACGTCGTTGTCTCTCAGGCGGATCCAAAGACAATCAGATTGCCACGACGGTATATCGCATACTGGCCAAAATCGTAGCCACGACAATTCTTTGTTAGGTCTCTCACCTAAGTCACCTTCACCTATCACCATTTCATTCTTCGTGCAATGGCCTCACTACAAGTAAAGTGGCGCCAGGAGTATCGCGCTACCTAGATAGTATATATTATCCATGCTAACCAGCCAACAAGCTTACCACCCACATCACTCTCGGGAGTGTAAGGACATCAACTAATAGATCAGCAAGTTCAGCAACCAGGGCATCGCGATGACGGTGTCAAAGACTCGGGGCGCCGCACGCAAAGGTGCACACAAACGCGTACAGTAAGTTCTGCAGCGTGCACGACTCAAGACATCAGATCTGACAGTATCCGTAGTTTCGGGCGCCATATGGTCGATATCTTTGTCGGACCTGACGAACATCCTTTCAGTGTGCACCAAGACCTGCTTTGTTCAAGCTCAAGCTACTTCAAGGAAGAAGTGCAAAGCTCTCGCAAAGTTATCGAAGGCGAATGTTCGATCTGCACAGAAGGAATGTCGGGACATTTGCCGATTACTTATTGCGGACCTTGTGGTCAGAACTTCCACACTGGATGCATCCAAGAGTGGCTTGACAGAGAAGAGATCTGTCCTCTTTGCCGCACAGAATGGAATTACTTCGAGGACGAGGTTGGAATCTGCGAAACGAGTTTGGAAGAGTGCGATCCTCTGAGCTTCGACATGTACATGCAGTGGCTATATACTGGAACCATTCCAGTTTACCCTCATGGCGACCTTGAGAATGCTGTCCAAAACCGCTTCATCGAACTCATGAAAGCCCACATAGTTGGCGACAAGCTTCAAGATCCTGGATTTCTAAAAGCCATTTACGAGGAAATCATCGACTACAGTCTGACTGTCGAGAAGCTCCCTAGCCGGAAATCCGTCGTATTCGCATATACCAACGGAAGCGAAGTCTCTCTACTTCGCAAGTTCTTAGCGGCTCTGTATGCTGTACGGGCAAGCTCACACTTCAAAGACTTAGAGAGATTTCCAAAGCAGTTCATATAAGACTTGTTGCTTGCTTCGCTGTCGCGACGCGTTTACCAAAAGGACACCAGAAAAGTTTTGGCTGAGTGGCTTCCTGGAAGGGAGGGAGAAGAAGATGAAGGGGTCGAAGGGCCAAAGGCTGCCGTAGGTTAGTGGGATAGGATGAGAGTATAACATAAATGGACATAGAGGGCGGGCAGAGCTGCTGAATGGATTTGGCACTGGCTGTGCTTAGGAGAGTATGTGAGAAAAACATCATTCTTAAAATGTCAATGAATAGCACGAGATGGCAGCTGTAAAACAAAAGAAAATGCAAATCACATTGCGTGAAGATGGTCTTCCCACCCATGCCCCGCTACTAATAATGTACAGGTACTCGTGCCATGGAAGCTTTTGATAAGGTATTATTTACCGACCCTTCTTGACCCAGCCTTCAAGATTCTCGCGTGTATCAGCCAGCTTGCCCTCTACCATACCAACAGTTCCCTGCGCATGTGCCTTTCCAGTCTCGATGAATTGCGAGATCCTGTTCTTCATCCGCAGGTGGGTATCCGCAAGTACCGGGTATTTCTCTTCGTAGGTCCAGATGAGGTCTCCGACGTTCTTGGTGGTGATGGGCAGCACGAACTTCGCAGCGGTGATGCCGACAGCGACGGGGACGGATGTTCGAAGGAGGATGTTGCGGTTGCGCGTGACGATGGAACCGGCCATGGAGGAGACGAGGACGTAGAGTGCGCCTGGGAGGACCTTCTCGCCGGATTCCCTCGGTGGAGCCAATGAGCGGATGGTGCTTGTGAAAGAGTGCTCGAGACGGAGCGTCTCGGTGAGCGCGTTATCGACGGCCTTCTCGCCGCGGACAGCCTGCTCGTATAGAGCCATGCGCGCACGGCCGATCTGGACTGCGAGGCGGTCGGTCGGTGTCGGTCGGTAGCTAGACTCTGGAGATAAAGTGTTGGACGGCTCTGTCAGGGCGGGAGCGGTAGGCGCTGTGGTATCGACGGGCATATCATCGTAGATAGGTTTGCGATCCTACTTTGACGTTAGTACTACGGTTAAGAGGGGAATAAAGGGCCCAAAAAAGCTTCGTCGGGCGTTCGAGGGCATTCCAACGTACAAAGTGGTCGGCAGGTCGCTCCTCTGCGTATACGGTCCGTGGTGCGAAGATTGCTGCGGCGGAGAGGGCGGCCATGGCGGGGACAGCGGCGCGCTATGCGATGTCAATACACAGTCTGTCATCTCTTGCGGGCTACTCACCTGCCGTAACAGCGGTCTGAAAGCCATGTCGAGCGTGGGGCAGGCGCAATGGGTTGAGTCTGGTAATGTCCAACTGGTGATGTTGAGCTCAGAAGACGCGGAAACGGCCGTGCGAGCGCCGCAAGATTCCCGCCCGTCCTCGGCTTAGCTATGACATCGTTTGTCTCGTCCGACTTCTGCCAGCCCACCCTTCACCCGTGCAACCCAATATGTTCAAGCGCCTCGCTCGCCCAAAGCAGTCGCCATGGGTCTGCCAACAATGCCTGCGCTCCTCCCAACGCCAACGACGTTTCAACTCCACATTCGCCGCCGCCGCCAAAGCACGCGACACTGCGCCGCCCAACGCTCTCTACGGCCTGTCTGCCAGCGGCAAGACAGATGACGACGCCCTGCGCAAAGTGTTCGACAACGCATCTTTCTGGAATGACTTCAAGCGCGCATCGCAAAAGGGAAAACCCACGGGAATAATAGGGAACCAATACCTCACCCACCCACAGGGCTTCGTCGACTTCGTTACCGTAACAATACAACGCTGCAATGCCGTGGTGCAAAAGGTGGCGGCCGCGCAGTCGACGGAAGACTTCAAGCACATGGTCAAAGACCTGGACAAGCTCAGCGATCTACTATGTCGGGTGATAGACTTGGCCGACTTTGTAAGAGGCACGCATCCGGATCGCAAGTTCCAGATGATGGCGATGAAGGCCTACCAGACGGTGTTCCAGTACATGAACCAGCTGAACACCACGCCGGTACTGCACGACCAGCTGAAGAAGGCGTCGGAGATATCCGAGGTGTACGACACATGGAGCGAGGAGGAGCGCATCGTTGCGCGGATATTGATGGAGGATTTCTCAAGATTTGGCATCGGACTAGACGATAAGACAAGGGAGCGGCTGGTAGATCTGAGCGGCGAGATTGCAGACGTGGGGAACGAATTTGTGGAAGGCATGGCGCCAGAGAAACGGGACTTGAGGTTCAAGTCGTCGAAGCTGAGAGGGCTGGATCCAAACCTCGCGAAGGCGCTGACGAAATGGGGTGAGACCAAGATCTCTACCATGCATTCCGAATCGCAAGCGGTTTTACGATTCGTAGACGACGCAGATGTACGGCAAGAGACGTACCAAGCTGTCCGGACAGCCAACAAACCAAGCATCGCGAGATTAGAAAAGCTATTGAAACTGCGAGTGGAATTGGCGCAGACCTCAGGCTACGAGACATTCGCACATATGACGCTAGAGAACAAGATGGCGCGAACACCAGAAGCTGTCAATACATTCTTAAAGGCCCTCTATGAGGACAGCCGGCCGGCTGTTCTCGCTGATCTAGAAGAGCTGATGGAGTTGAAGAGAGGCGATGCCCACCAGGATAACTTCCCTGATCGCATCAACGCCTGGGATAAATTCTATTATACACAGAAGATGCTAGCCTCTATGGAGAGCCACTACAGGCAGCGAACGCCCGACTCTTTATCTGCATACTTTTCCGTTGGTACTGTACTACAGGGTATATCGCGACTCTTCGACCGTCTTTATGGCGTCCGATTCGTTCCCAAAGAGACGCAACCAGGGGAGGTATGGGACGATGGTGTTCGCCGACTAGACGTCATCTCAGACACCGAAGGTCACATTGCAGTGCTCTACTGCGACCTATACTCACGACCCGGCAAGACCCCCAACCCAGCGCACTTCACTCTCCGCTGCAGCCGTGAAATCCTCTCTTCTGAGATGGAAGAGATGGCCCACATGCCGCATCGCTTCTCCTCTCCCATCGAAGCCGCCACAGACGGCATGCCAGTATCTTACAACGCCGAACGAAACAGTTACTTCCAACTCCCCACAATAGCACTAATCTGCGACTTCAGCAAAGCATCGCACTCCCGCCCCACCCTACTCAACATCCACGACGTGCGCACCCTCTTCCACGAAATGGGCCACGCACTCCACTCCATCCTCGGTCGCACCGCCTTGCAAAACGTCTCCGGCACCCGCTGCGCAACCGACATTGCCGAGCTACCCTCGGTCCTAATGGAGCACTTCGCTTTCTGCCCCCACGTTCTAGGTCTCTACGCCCGCCACTGGGAAACCGATGCGCCAGTCCCCATGGCCGCGGTCGAAGCCCGACTCGCCATCGATAACAGAAACCAGTACTCCGAACTCGAAAGCCAGATCTTACTCTGCATGCTCGACCAAGTCTACCACTCGCCCATCGCCGCAGACCCCAACTTCAACTCTACGAAAGTGTACCACGACGTCTATAATAAATACGCTTCTGTCCCTGAGCCTGCTGGTACTGCTTGGCAAGGCTTCTTCGGCCACTTGTTTGGATACGGGGCTACGTACTATTCTTACCTCTTTGACCGGGCGCTAGCGGCGAAGATATGGAAAGATGTGTTCCAGCATAATGGCCAGGAAGGTAGTTTGGATAGGGAGAATGGGGAGCTTTATAAGAATGAGGTGCTTAAGTGGGGTGGAGGTAGAGATGGATGGCAGTGCTTGGCTGGTGTGCTCAAGGATGAGAGGTTAGCTAAGGGAGGTGAGGAGGCTATGGCCGAGGTGGGGAAATGGGGGATTAGGGAGGCGAGGGGGAAATAGAGTGGTGATTGAGGTCATGTTTATATACGTTTAATGTTGCGACGCATGTATATATGATAGTTAGATGGTTAGACGGTAGACGATACGTTGAAACGCGCATGCATTTATATCATAGACATGGAGCTCTCAGATCAAGTAGAATACCTGCAATGTTATCTATCACTTTTGAACAATGTGAATTTGAAATGCTACTTCCTACACCTTCTAGATACACCTCTCCCCAAAACTTCATGCGGCAAATGCCCTCATCTCACACATCCCCTCCTACCCGCCCATCCCCCTCCCCCGGTCCATAACCCCCGCCTTAATCCTCTCCACAACCTCTCTACCCAACCACCTCAGCTTCCCATTTTGCCGACACGCCGCATCCGCCCACTCAAACACGCCCTTCAACTCCCTCAGCTCCTCGACCTTCCAGCTCTTCGCCAGCCTACCCAGCACCAACCTCGACTCCACGACCGTGGCTCCAGGATCCAACCAGCTCTTACTATGTTGATCGAGCGGCAGTATGAGTCCTGCGTCGCTGGCAGATATAAACTGCGATAGCGCGGGGAGGGTGAAGATCCAGTGGAAGAGGAGATTGGCCGTCTTGGATGATTGCGCGTCGTTGAGGGCGACAAGGGTAGAACTAAACGCCGTGGCGTACGTATCGTGGGCAGAGCGACGGCAAACGTTTAGTGTTTGGTTGCGCTCGAAGGATTTGAGATGGAGTGGGTTATGTACGAAATCTAGGGTCGTGGGCCAGTATGTCTGATCTGCTGTTTCGAGGCGGCTGATGAGATGGATTTCCGGGAGGAGACAGGGCGCTACTAGTGTTTTTGATTGGGGTACCTCGTTTCCTTCTTGGTTGTTCTTGAAGACGACGTTGATGGGCATGGATATGGCGCGTCCTGTGTCTACGTCTCGCACAACAAGACATCTGGGCTCGGCGGCTAGTACCCAGAAGTGACGGAACGCCTGGAGATGGGCCCGCGAGTCTTGTACGTCGGAGGGAAACAGGGGGTAGAATGCACAGATCAGACTGGCAATGGCTTTGTTGCTGCGACTGAAGGTCTGTGTACCACCCGCGATGAACAGAGTGCCGAAGGCCATATGAGCTGCGAGATGAGAGCCGTACGGAATATCCGGACCAATGCGGCCGTGGAGACCGCGCAAGCGACGGAAGACTTCGAGATCGCCAGTTCCTGCCATGACAGTTGCGGCTGCTAAAGCGATGAGATCTTGGCAGTTCCGGACTGTGTTCTTGGAAAGCTTGGAATCATAGCGTACGGCGGGAAGTTTGTTGATGCGTATCAGTTGATCCAAATACTTGATCAGAAAGTCGCGGACCTGGATATCCCCCGTACCAGCATGCTTGAGACTCACAGCCCAGAGCAGACCTGCAATGATGTTGTAAAAAGGCATTTGTTCGCTACGGAGTCGTGTAATGCCTTTGAGATCCCAGGCTTCGCGATAATCGTACGGCAGATTCTTGATGATCCAGGAGTCCGAAGCTTCGATGGTATCCCACATGATGACATGTTTTGCGAGGGTGCGGAGGAGGAAAATGTCTGGGCGAACGTAGTCGAACTGGGGCAGCGTGTCCGGGATGTCTATCTTGCGCGCGACGGTCTGGTCGTGGGTCTTCATGAAAATGAGTGCAACGGCGATGACTGCTCCAGCTGTGGCTTGATCGAGGATGTGAACAACGTTGACGGGCTTAGGCGCTACAGCGACTGTCATGAGACGCTCAACTATACGCATATCGTGGAGACCTCTAAGATCTTTACCCTTGCCCAGGTTGATGAAGCCAAGCGCGAAGCCCGCAGCCAGCCTGTAAGCTTCATCCCGCAAACTATCTGGTGGTTCTGATGGATCTGGAATCTCAACAAACTCGATCTCTGAAAGCATCACCTCGCTCATGCGACGGTGCTGTGTGTTGTAGTAGAGTAAACCAATGCCCATCAGGCCCGTGGTCTGGGTGTAGGGAGAGAGATTTAGCTCGGCTGCTCCTTGTGGAAGCATTCTTGTGACATGCACCGACAGTAGTCTTGTAACCAACGTATCCATGGTACCCATGAATGAGGCGGCTAAGCCCAGCAATAAGCCGACCGAAGTCATGGTGTGTTTGGGAGTAAGGTACTTGAAAGACAGCCACTTCGCAATCGTTCTTAGATGGCCATTCAGGCCAAGGCCAAGCAACAGTCCAGCATGCTTGTTCGTCAACTCTGAAGGTTTGTTGTACATGATCCATGACGTGTCGATGCCCTGGGCGTCGCGCGATATGCTGAGACCAGCTGCAGCACCAGCGTTGAAGAATGCCCAAAAGTACTTTTCCTCGGAATAATTTTGCCGTTCTGCAGTGACAACGTTACCCATTGGCTTCATGAGACATGATGTGGAGAAGCCGTATAGCGGGTATTTCTCTGTCAGCAGAGGTTTCTTACTGCTGAACTTGATCATGGAACTGCCTAACGGCAAAGAGAACGTGCGCACCATGACCCACTGCATAAGTGCTTTCTGTCCCTCGAGCATTGCTGCATCGTCTTGCCGGTTGTCAGCCTTGTACTCTGCGACAGTCTGCCGCAGAGGCTCTAGCAGCGTGTATGCCTCCATGAACCGCCTATCTTCGCGGAAGATGAGTCGCGTGATGTAGTGCCGATCGACTTCAGATGTTGATTGGATTGCTTCCATTCGATCAGCGCCTTGACATATAGTGTGAACGTCTCGTGTTGTGCCAGCTGCATGCAGACCCCCGCCTGTTGTGGCCAAGTGGCTATCGTGGGTAAAGTCTGCAACTGGCGTGTGGCTAAGATCCAAGTCTTCGCGCTGAACAAGTCTGAGTAGTGAGCTCGACCATGTAGTAGGTGGATTCGCCTGGCATCTCGTGATAGCTTCCATGAGTGGTGCTTTGGCGGCTTCCGGCAATGTGGCTAACAGCTCAGGGCTGATATTGCATGTCCTGATCAGCTCTACAACCTTCTTAGGGCTTGATGCAGGATCAATATCGCGGAAGAACCTGTGCAATGCTACAGTCCTGGGCGTTACGCCAGCTATAATCTCGTCGATGTTGATGGACGAGTGTGGAGAGGCTTTGGACTTCCGTATGAGCATCGCCAGTGTGGGGAATGGGGCATAATGCTGGGATCTCGTGACAGTGCTAAGCCACTCCATAATTGAAGGAGGTGCATCCCATGGCTGTGCATGCAGCCGAACTTTGCTGATCAATGTGGTTTCGTCATATGCCCAATCCTGACTCGAACCCCCATCAAGGTCGAAGAATCCACCTTGTCTCCAATCCCATGCTTCCCAACGAAGCCAGTGCCCAATCTGTGCTAACACGGGTGCGAGATTCCCATGTTGCATATCAGAGAAATCTTGGCACAGGGTGTCAAGCTTGCGCTCTTCACGGAAGAGATGGAGCGACACCACAATTTCAGACAAAGACGATATGCGAAGATCCTGCTTCTCCGAGGGAGACATTCGTCTCCAATGGTCATTGGTGGCTTTGCCGATCGGTGACTGGACATATTGACGAGCAAGTTCGAGGCAAGTTGGTATCATGCCGTTTTTGATGCTGATCTGTTGAGCGATTGTTGGCAACTGGCGCTGCAGTGAGTCACGCTTGGCCGGTGGACTCATCGCCGTCGATGTCGGACTAGAGTGCAACGCCCAGGCCCAGGGAGAGGACCCCCAACTCTTGGCCTGCGGTGTCGACGTCTGGCGATTGCACATAAGACGCCATGCTGAGTCCTCGTCATCAATAAACTCGTCTGGCTTGGCTTGGCTTGCAGGACGTCCAGAACTTCTTCGCTGAGTTGACTTTGCACGAGTGACCGTCCTCCCCTTCTTCTCATCGATGAAGGGTACCGCGAGAGTGAGCAAAGTCGCTACGAAAGCTGTCCAATCAGCACTAACATGCTCCGCTCCCTCATCCGATAGCGATTTGCGAATGTTCCACCAAATCTCCAGTAGAAATTCGCCTGCATAGTTTGGTAGAACCGTTGACAGCACTCGGAAGAGTTCAGCAACATAGCCATTCGAGGGTGACAGACGCAATACCATCCGATGGCGACGCAGCTCACCGTCATGTAGCTCTAATTTGCCGCTTTTCCCTAATGACGATAGCCCTCGTAACGGCTGACTCGGTTTTATGATTCGTCTTGACCCTACCGTTGCTCTGGTTTGATCGCGTTGTATGATGGCATACGGATCAAACATCTTCATGGAGTCCAAGGTGAGCTTCACCGGTAGGTGGCTACCCCAACCTGCAGTCAACGAGATACAAGATTCCTGGGGATTTCTTGAATTGAGTTGCGCAATTCGCTCGACATGGCCGTCACGGACTTTCACAAGATCCAGTGCGTTATCGAGCTGTCGCGAGCTGACAAATTTCGGTACGCAAGCATATCGAGGAGCCGCACTGGCCGACCCCGACTGGGTGGCCGATGCGGATGGTGATAGTCTTCTTCGTGAGACTGCGAGCTCACATTCGAGTGGAAGTTGCAGTGACGGATGGGATATGTACAGGTACAGCTTTCTCTCATGAAGGGTTGCTGAATTGAAGGGTGCATTCAGCGTAAGTACCTTTGGCTCATGCCATTCCTAATCAAGCGTTAGTAACGTCATGTTTCTGGGAACGATGCTGACTTACCTCAGAGTTTGAAGTGTTCCGAAGGGCAAAGAGGCCACTTTTGAGGTATTGTGTAACTGGGAGCTCTGCGATGACACTGATGATGAGCTCTTTGTGGAGTCCATCCCCAGGTTGCGGTCCTCCTTTACCATCAGGCGGTGCAAACAGATCATCAAGCTCGTCGTAGTCCTCTATAGTGTCGAATGTATCCTCGTCCATGACATCGTCCAGGGTGTCATCAATCGATACAGCACCTAAGCTCATTCGGGATGTAACGCTACCAGGGGTGGAAGCTCGATTCCGAGATTGTGAGAAGCCACCAAAACTTGTACGATCGTGACCCAGTGAGTGCCTACTTCGCTGACTTGCATTGAAGCTGCCACCAATACTGGTGCGGGACGTTGCCATGTCCTGAAACGCGCTTCTGTCGAAACTCGTTGAGAGTTCAGCCCGTGACAACAGCGAGCTCACTCGCCTAGACTCCTTTGGCTGGCGGGTGATGTCGGAATCGGGATTGAGCTGTGAGGCAAGAGCGTCGTCGACTGCTTGGTCAGAGAGACGTTCCTTGGTGATCTTGAAGGATGGGGGCTGAGTCTTGCTGCGTGGAGCACCACCAAAGCTTTCCCTCAATCTGTCAGCTCCACGAATTGCTGGCGTAGTTGCGCCTGTTCCTGGTGCAGTGCCGCCATATGAGCTACGGCGTCGAGACTTGGCTACTGGCAGAGGAATGTGCTGTTTGCGAGAACTTGATATTGATTTTGGCTCAAGATAGGCCGCAGACCAGATGGTAAATACATTAGTCTCGTGGTTTGCTGTGACTACTAGTAGAAGAGGCTTGTCATTACCACTGCGATCGAACAGAATCTCGTTCCGCGGAGACACGTAAATGATCTCCTCAGCTTTGTCAATCGCCTCGAGTCGCCGATGACCAGAGCCTTGGGAGGTCAAGAAGCTGCTGCGATCACCACCTGTAACAACGCTGACCACCAGTCCCAGCTCCGACAGCGGGTCTGTGAAGGAATATAACCTGGGTATCGACTCTGGATTTAGAGGCGCAATAGGATTGAACAAATCATCAAGAAACGTGTTTGCACCCGACAGGCGAGATTTACCATGTCGCGATGCGCCCATTGAAGAGCCATGCCGCCGGTGGGGTTTATGAAAGCTCTGTGAAAAGGAGAACTGTTGTGAGAGGAAAGACTGGTTGTTCGTGAGGAAGGAATTCTGTGGAGCCGACGGCAGCTGCGGACTGGTGGGCACAGGGTGCAAAGGAGCAAGCTTCCTCTGTAGCACAACACCGCGTGCTGCAGGAAAGGCCTTGTCCACCTCGAAGGGGAGGTTTACGATGTGTGTGGTGCCTGAGAGGAAGAAGACGTGTGCTTGCGACTTCAGGAAGACGACGAGAGCACGCGATAGCTTCTCCAACGTGGGCGTTGTGGGACTGGCTGGCGCAGTGGGATCGGTAGCAGGCTGGGTCCCTTGTGTGAGGAAGCTCTTTGCAGGGTCGACAGATTTGTGTTCTGACGAGTTGTCGGAAGGCTCGTGGGTGCCTTGGGAGGGCTCGTCTACCAAGAACCATGTCAAGAGCGCCTGCTTGACCTTCTCTTTCTCAATTTCAAAGTTGAACACCTTGCGTACAATACCGCCTCGCGACCAGATCACGTGGTACTCGGTGGTGACGAGCTCGTCGGTGTAGCCATCGGGGCTGTCGTCGGTGTAGGTGTCCCAGACATAGTCGCGGTCGGTGCTATCGTCGGTCAGGATGGACTCTTGGACCAGATACTGCAGGGCGGAGGGCTTGTGGACCCCGATTGAGCGAAGGGAGGCCATGCGAAAGACTGGCCCGCAACATGAGGGAGGTTCGGGTGGCGGGTGTGCGTCGGGGTGAGAAGGGCGGTTTGTTTGCGCGGGGCGCGCGATCTGAGGTGACGCGCTGCGGTCGAGCGCGACTTCCCCAGGGAAATGTTGACAAACTCCGCAGCACCTCCGAGCTTCCTTCACCCTCACACATCACGTCGCGCCACTCGTGCACCTCTCGTACTGCCAATATAACAATCAGACACCTTTCAGTCGTTCTGATTATAGTTGCGCTTCAGGCAGAAGTCGCATCCTTCGCCCTTTCCTCGTTACCTAGGCGGTAGCTTCGTTCACAACCCTCGAGCTGCAAGCATGGAGCCCATTGTCACCACGCAAGGGAAGCTGACTCAGCTGAGGTATGTTCTCCCCGCGCTGCGCGTCACACGACTACTGACATAGCGTCTTATAGGTACGAGCTTCCGCATCGCGTACACGACTCCACCGTATACCCCGTCAAAGCCCCCAATGGCTCGACCATCGTACTATACGGCCACGAGAATGGCGTCGGCATCCTATGGAGAGGCGGACGGCCCTTGAAGAAGACTGCGCCACCTCCAAAGCAGCCAGCGAAGCCAGCGAAAGTCAATGGAACAAGCAAGGATGCCATCATGATCATCGACTCGGACGATGACGAGCCTGCCAAAGCTGCCGCGGAGCCGCTGCCTAAGGCAGAGTTTGAGGATGAAGAAGAAGAGCTCGACCCAGACCAGCCGTATGCCTCGATCGTTCAGCAGCTGTCTCTGTCGCTCAGCACCCAAGTCCTCCACATCGCCGTACCCCAAATACCGAGCGCGTCGACCCTCCGACCCGCGGATACCATACCTCCCATATTCAGTCAAAACATCGTCTTCACTGTCGCATGCGCCGACTCGACCATCCGTATCATCACGCTGCCTTTGAGTCCTCCTCCACATGTCGCAAAAGACAAGCTACACGGCGTGAAGCCCCAGTTTGGCGAGAACGTTGTCAAGGTCCACGGTCACCAGAGCATTCCGATGGGTGTTACCATGACTTGGACTGCAAGAGGAGAACCAAGCTCTGCAGAAGATGGGGACGACGATGTGGATATGGACGAAGAGGAAGAAGACACAGCGAACTCTAGGCGCAAACCCCAATCGCGCACCGACGGAGGCTTCGACATACTTGTGGCATCCCACTCCGCCGAGCTGGGAGGTCTGCTCAAGCTGTTCCGATTTGAGCTGTCGGAGACGGCACTACAGGTGTCCCATCCTGTCGCGCCTTACAAGACGCTTGCCCTCAGCAAGCCTGCCTCTCGTATTGCCTTCAACACCGCTCAATACCCAAAACCTCGCCATTCGCAACTACTGATTGCGGACTCCGCAGGCACTACGCGCATCTACGATCCTTTTACACTACCAATTCGTAAGCGACGAGGAAGCGGTAGTCGCGCGGAGCCTGGCGCATTTGTGGGAACCTTTAGGTCATCCTTCGAGAGCGTCAAGAACGTTGCGCTCACTCCTGCTGTTCTCCCATCGCGCAAAGCTATCATCGACGCAGCGTGGGCTTCCGATGGTCGTCATATAATAGCTCTCCTGGCAGATGGCGAGTGGGGCGTCTGGGATGTCGACCGGTCTGGTCCAAGTCCTCCAGCAGATCCATCGGCATTTTCTCTTCGGGGGTATGTTGGTACAGCCGAGAAAGAAGGAACCTCTGGCGGCGCATCGAGTCCGAAGCGCGGAAGTCGCAATTCACTCGCTCCAATGACGCCGAATACACGTAAGCGGAAAGAGGAAACACTGTTCCAGGGCAGCGCGTCAAGTTCGACAGTAGCAACCAGAGGTGGCGTTTCTGTCGCGAGCATCAGGTCGAACAACGGAGTATCGGCAGAGGACTCGGTCCTCATTTGGTACGGGTTCGAGATCCACAGGATAGCAGATCTGATGAAGTTCTGGACTCGCACTGCTTCCGCCAGCAGCGGAGGTTCCTTACCTGGCCCTGGTCTCCAACAACAAGATGTTGTACTTTGCGGCGAATCCATCACCTCGGTCTCACAGTTCGACACCACAGCCCAAGCCTCGCGCATGGCCGTTCCAAGAGACATTCTCATCTCAGCAGAGCACCGCCTCATCATCACCGCCAGCACCAGCCAGCCTCTTGGACGTGATCTAAACGCCATGTTCGCGCGCGAAAAGGTGGAAGACGAAACATCGACCCGAACAGACCAGGCTCTCCTCACTCGTGGCGAGCTTGATCTCGGTGGCATGGACAGGATGCTCGAAAGCATGGAAGGCAGCGGAACTAGTGCAGCCGTTTCCAAGAACCTGACCATGGGTGGGCCTCGGAAGGTTCTCTTCGCCTCGTCAGCGGCTTGATCACAAACGAAAGCGCAACGACCGATTTACCTTTGAATAAAAGAAAGTGCTCCGAATGCACGGGAAGCCGGTACTTGAATACGATATCCCCAAATCATCATTTCGATCATCATAGCCGCCATACAAGCGGTAAGCGGTTCCCAGTGCTCCCTAACATGTCCCTTTCCTCTCCTTCGTGTTCTCAAAAAGAAAGCCCAGATCCAAAACATGCTTTCGCGGCCCAAGGTGGAGCTCAGCGACCAGACCCATTCCTGCTGCTCAGTATAGCCTAGCGATACATCAACTACCGTACTGAACCCACAGTCGCCGACAATCGCCCCTTTTACCCCTAGTACCCCTCACAGGCGAACGGTTCCCGTAATGTAAAAGGTGTCTTTTGTCTGGATAGCTGTGGGCGGTGCGTGCATAAATCCTTCCCAATCTTTCACTCTGAGCTGCCTGTATATCTAGCCGGTCCTTATGGATGTCGGGTGAGGACGGTATGCGATTCTGTGGTGACGAGGCGCGTGGGTGCATGACGTGCGTGTCTGTCATGGACGCGTGTGGTGTAGTGCTTGCGTGTGGGGAAGGGCGTGCAACATCTCTTGACCTTTGTGATTATCGTGATGTCTGCAATGATGTTTGATTGGACATGTCATTCATCTTTCGCTTTCTTCGCGCGCGAAACTTTTTCATGCAAGATAAAACGTAATATTATCATTACCCAGACCGTGGCCTCCAACGCCATTGCTAAATAAAATTGATACAACGATGCATACCTACTCATTCTCGCGCGATAGCTGGCTTTCATGACCACGACCCTACGAAGCATCGTCCACTACTCTGCCAACAAACCCTTCCAGCCCAGCCATACCCTTTGCACCCCTCTCATTACCCCCGAAAAGCCCCGGCCCACCGCCAGGCATGACTAACACCTTGGCACCCATCTCCACGAATTCGCGCGAAGCGATGAATTGGAAGGTCACGATGACCGCTGCCGGCGCAGCTTCAGCTGCCGGCTTCTCCATCTCAACGTCAAAGCCGAACCCGAAAGCATCATCCTCGTCTCCGTGAGTCTTGAGCGTAGGGTCTTCCATACGTTCGGCAGCAACGGAAAGCACTTTCGATGAAGCTCTCACGCTCGCAATGTAAACGACAACTGCGCTGCCGACACTGAGGTTCCTAACGCTTTCTGCTTGCTTATCCTCAAATCGCACTGTGATGACTTTGTGCGCTTTGGGCTCGCGAGCCGCCAATACCATGCCTTTGCGTATCCTGTTTATCGATGGACTGACAATCGGTGTATCGACGGGTGCGAGGCCCATGGTCCCGACCTGCCCCGCATGAAGCTTTCGCACGGGTAGACGCAAATTGCGCATAGAGGTAATGCGGACGCGTCGCCATTGACTATGCCGATCGCGCAATGAGGCGTTCTTCGATTTCGTGTTCAGTGCGCCAGGAAAGGACCTCGACTGCGGAATAGATGGCTTGCGATTTGGTATTGCGCTACCGCTGTCGCTGTCGTCAGAGCTTACATCGACAGGGTAGGGTCCTAAGAGCAGCTCGTCGCCAACGGCCAGAGACCCGTAACGGAGGTAGCCCCCGATGATCGCTGATCGATCACTTGATGTATCCGTGCGGACGCTGTAGACATCTTCGATATAAAAGAGTGGCGAAACTGCTGCAGGTGCAGGTTGAGTGACTTCCTTGGGCATGGGCAGTTCTCGAAGGAATGCATGAAGCTTCCGGATTCCTGTGCCTTTGACGGCGCTAGTCAAAACAATCGGCACTGCCGCAAGTGGTGAGTCTGCAAGGAGACTTAGTGCATTGTCGATCTTAAGATCTCCTCCATCAACTGTGTGTAGATCGGCCTCTAGCACAGATGTAGCTGCATCACCGATGAGACAAGGCGTCCTCTTGTGCTCTTTCAATACCGAAAACAACTTGTTACAGGTGTTTCCCAAGCCGGTTCTGGTAGCCAAATCGAACTTCGTGATGACAATCACAAGCGGCAGTTCCAGAGCGAGGCATAACTGAAGGTGTGCATGAGACAGATCCAGATCTGCTGCTGCTGGGCCGAGTATTTCTTCAGCTGAAGGCGAAGCTCCGAGCTTGCCAGAGGACTCATCGGTGTTGTCAGCTGGAATGCACAGAAGTGTCCAATGTGGTTGCCTGGTGGGTAGGTTAGCAAAGTCCACCACATGATGAAAATAAGGCATCCCAAAAGAGTACATGTGGAAGAAGGAAGCGCTATGATATAGAGTGATCACTTACCAGCCGACGATTCCACGGACGGTGGTGCGTCTAAATCGCGGATGACCAGCTGAGTCAGAGAGGAACACAAGTCGGCCGGTTTTTGCTGACTCAACAGCCGCGTGAATGTCGATCCATGAGTCGATGTTCTCAGAGCCATAGCTAGTCACTCGTGATGAGCCTCCTACATCACGGTACCCTATCAACTCCTGGGTGACAGAGCTGGTCATCCCTGATGCGATCTCGTGTCTGTGTTTCAGAAGACTCAGGCGACTCTTTCCTCTGCCATTATCCAGCGTTGCGGTAGAGAGTGTGCCAAGTAGGCTAGATTTACCGGACATGGTGGCACCGGTCACTGATACACGCATCTGCTCGGTGACTCCCTCAGACTCGTTAGTCAGTGCCACA